TTCCGCGCAATATTTAAGCACACAGCCAGGAATTCCATCGGGGCCTGGCGAATATACAGGCTTAACACGCTGAAGATCGCAAAGTAGGGAGCTCTCGCTTAACGTGGGACAGAATACTAAATTCGACTTGGATACAGCATAAGAATAGGGCTGATCATAGTGAGGTGACTATGTTGTTTGAAAAAACTGGGCAAATAAATCGGCTATTGCCTGATCCGATGTTGCCGTAGTATAAGTGTGTCAACTCTTTATTGAACCAAGGAGGTTTGCTAGAGATAGACGGATAGTATTTCGGAACACAAGAATAAAAAAAAGTCTGGATTACAGTATAAAATATATTTATGGCATCCGCCATATTATTGCAAGTGAGAAGACAAATTTGGAGTCGGGCCGCCGTCGTTTGCAAGCAACGATTCGTGTTATAAGAGTGAGAAAGAGAGGAACACTTAGGAATATCCCTTTTCCTTTCCTACACACTGATTGCTTAATTGCCAAAAGTCTTCAATCCCCTGCCTCAAGCGGTCCACTTGTTCACAGTAGATGGTAGAATGAAGCGTCTGGCCATATGGGAGTAGCTCATAGTGAATAATTCCATTTCAATCGCACCAAACACCAAGCAAAACCTTTCTGGCCCGCAATCCCGGCTTGGTCACTGTTTGGAACGATTCAGCGTCCTTCAACCACCACTGTTTTCGCTTGGTATTGTCGTATGCATTTTTCGTCGCCAGTCAATATCCGCTTCAAGAATGGGTCGAGTTCGTTCCGTTTCAGCAGCATATCTCAGGCATTGATTCAATCCAGAAGGGTTTTTTTGCGTCAAATCATGGGGCACCCAAACATCAAGTTGTTTTTGATTCCAGCCTTTTGCAGATGATTTACAATGGCTTGGGGCCTAACTCCCATCTCCTGGGCGATGTCACGTGATGCCCTAAGCTGATCTAACTATGTATTTCAAGATTTGACCGGTATTCGCCTTTCACCGGCTGCCTATCCATGGTATCGTTTTTAGCGGCTCGGAATCGACGAAGCTATCCCTCCGAGTACCATCCTCCAATACACCATTAATCTCACGGAACGTTTCTCAAGCGGATTTGTCTTTAACAAAGAAAAACTTTAAAATAGCGCAAATTTCCAAATTCGTTAGTGAACTTCATGTTTATGTAAACGTAATGTAGAAATAATAATCGTTTTGTAGCTTATGTCAAGACCTTTCAAATGATTTATAGTTTTGCCAGATACGAGCTCTTTAGCGCATTGTACATAGCAAATTCTAAAGGCAAAAAGACAGAAGGGATATATTTGACACCCTTATACAATAAAATCTCTTATATCTATGTTATCGTTTTTTTTTTTATACCCTTGCAGAGGGTACTATAGTTTCAGTCAGAAGTTTGCAACGCAGTGAAGGAGACACGTCCGACTCCACAAAGTCGAAATACGTCCGTACGTCTGTCTTCTGTCGGTCTCTCTGTTTCTATGTAAACTAGTGTCTCAGTTTTAAAGCTATCTCGCTTAAACTTAACCAAAAGTTGTGTAGCTTTTGCACGCAGTGTATAATTCGGAACGGGCCAGATCGGCGGCTATATCAGATAGCTCCCATACGAGAGATTGAAAAAAATTCTCACGCCGTTGTTTTTGATCATATCGACTTGATTTTTTTCATATGGTATTTTCTAACTACTATTGAATTTCGAATTAAATTTTTATGGAAATCGGGTAACTATATCATATAGCTGCCATAGAAAATAGCGAAAATGTCTTTATGGGGTCTGAGGTGTCTCCTTCACTGCGTTGCAAACTTCTGACTGAAATTATAACACCCTTTTGCTCTGTAAGGGTATAATAAAAAGATAAGATCGTTGTTTTTCACCAGAGAATCATGATTTTTTGAATTTATGCTGTTTTGTAGACTATTGAATGCCGAATTAAATTTCATCAAACGAAAATTTCATCGAACCTCGAAAATGTGGAAAACTAGAGGTCCTGTGTCCGCTTCGCTGGTCAACACAATTTAACAAAATAATAGTCAATGTTGCAACATTTTTCAAATATATGGAAGTATAGAAAGATGGTGATTTAACACTTTTCCAGTTTGACTTTTTCACTTGCGCAGCACAATCCAGCCGTTTCTCTTTTAAAATTGAAAGCACTGCAATATCGGTATATAGTCGCCATTGGTCCAATATCTAAATTTTCATTATCACTGTAGTTCGCAGTGGGATCTTATTGGAATGCCAAGCGATTGAATGATGCAAATGATCTCCATGTGCTCATTTGTCTTTCTTCGCTTAAGTTTTGTGAATATACTTGTTGCTGGCTTGGATGTCTGCGGCCAATGTTTGCACGTCGTCCTCTAAGCATTTTGGGCTATGGATAGAGTGGTGAATTTATCCTCAAATGCACGATCCACATAATTTTCACAGTTCAACTTAAATTTATTAAAAATTCTTTTTTTTTCACAATTTTACAGTGAACACAATACCCGTTTGTCCATGAAATTAACTGAGAAGAGAACACTAAGGTTTGCATAATATGTGAAAAAACTTAATTCACTTGGAATTCATAAATGAAAACCACAAAAATTGCGTTAAAATGCTATGTTTGTCAGTGTGATGAGGTAGCAACTCACTTTATATGCGACAATATTGCAATGCGCGTGTTGGCCACCGAATACGGGCTGCAACTCGACAATTTTCCTCCGTGGAAACTGGAAGTTGACAATGTCGGAAAAAATTTGTATGGAAAAGAGAAAAATATGGCTTAAATGCGTATTTCTGAACATTTTCAAAAAATTATAAAAATAAAAGAAAAATGATTTTTGAAAAATTATTTTTGCATTTACTATTATTTTTGTTTAAAGAAACTTTTTGCATCCAAAAATTTTAGTTCTGAAGCCGAGGGAAAGTTTTTTTTTTTTAAAGAAGCAAGTTCAAGTTTCGAGTATATTTCATTTTTATTTTGTCAAAATATATATGCCGACCAGTGTATATAGGTATAGTCTTGCGGTATTTCCGCTAGGTGTTTTTGCAAGCACGTAGCTCTAGTTTTATTCGTCGCATCGGTTCACGCTAGAGCTTTTTGCTCTAGCTCTTTTCACGTGCTAACACGTGTTTGATTTATTGCTGTTTGTTTTTAGTCGTTCGTGAGTTATAGCGTCGCAAACATGGAGCATAATAAAGAGAAAATACGGCATATTTTACAGTACTATTATGATAAAGGCAAAAAAGCATCTCATGCTGCCAATAAAATTTGTGCAGTTTATGGACCCGATAGAGTTTCCATTTCCACCGCGCAACGATGGCTTCAACGTTTTCGTCTGGTGCAGAGGTGATCGAAGATGCGCCACGCTCCGGAAGGCCTGTCGTCGAAAATTGCGATAAAAATGGCGATGAAATGGTCGAAAGAGACCGGCATAGTAGCAGCCGTAGCATCGGCCAAGAGCTGGGTATGAGTCATCAAACCGTTATAAACTATTTGAAGAAGCTTGGATTCAAAAAGAAGCTCGATGCGACTTGGCGCAAAAAAACATTTTTGACCGTATGGATACATGTTAATCGCATCTAAATCGCAACAAAATCGACCCGTTTTTGAAGCGGATAGTGACTGGCGATGAAAAGTGGGTCACTTACGACAACGTAAAGCGTAAATGGTCATGGTCGAAAAGCGGTGAAGCTGCCCAGACGGTGGCCAAGCCTAGATTGACGGCCACGAAGGTTCTTCTGTGTGTTTGGTGGGATTGGCAGGGACAACTGGACCGCTTGAATGCAGCACTCATGCAGAAGAGGCCATCTTTGATCAAAAGAGGCCGAATTGTCTTCTATCAGGACAACGCCAGGCCACACACATCTTTGGTGACACGCCAGAAGCTCCGGGAGCTCAAATGGGAGGTTTTTTTGCATCCACAGTATAGTCCGGAGAACGAGAAGTTGGCCACAAGAGAGAGTTAAATCGTATTATTATAACCAATTTTATATAAAATTGAAAATTCAATAAAAGACTTAAAAGACAAGACTTTTTTGACAACCTTATATATTTTTCGATATTTTCTATGGCAGCTATATTATGGAGTTATCCGATTTTGAAAACATTTTATCCGAAATTCAATAGCGGTAAGAAATCAAATCGATCTGATCAAAAACAACGGCGTGAGAATTTTTTATTTTATTCTCTAGTATGGGAGCTTTCCGATATAGTCGGCCGATCCGGCCCGTTTCGACTTATATATTGCGTGCAATAACTACACACCTTTTGGGAAAGTTTCAGCAAGATAGCTTTAACACTGAGAGACTAGTTTACATAGAAACAGACAGGATGACAGACGTATTTCGATTTAGATAGTGATGCTGATCAAGAATATATATACTTTATGGAGTCTGAGGTGTCTCCTTCACAGCGTTGAAAACTTCTGGCCAAATTTATAATACCCTTCGCTCTGCAAGGGTATAATGAGACACCTTGTTCTTGTCATCCACTTTACCACCGGCGGCTAACAAATCACAGATAATTTCGTCGAAAATTTAAAAAAAAAACTTAATAATTCCATCTCGCTTGACGGCTTGAGAGAGAGCAGTCGTTTGCGCACAGCCAACTGTGTAGCCAAACTTTTCTTTCATATACCGCATCCAAATTTTTAAAAAATCTGGCAGGCGGATTTGTAGCTTGTTGCGAAATTCATGTTGCATCATTGAAACACAAAGCTTCCAAAGATGGAGAGAAGAAAAATGCCGATCAGGGAAGCCAATCGTTAATATCGGATCTTAAACCAAAACCAGGATCAAATTTGTCGGAGTTCAATGTAGATCTGTGCAAAACTTTAGTTTTGAAATAAAGAACCTTCTTTTTCAACTTTTCTAGTCGTAATAAGAAATAACAAGTGTCGGAAATGGAACTGTTCTTATGATTAAGGTTTTATTTCGGTTTCTAACTCTTAAACAAAATTGTCATTTGGATATCGGTAAGATTAAAACAATTTTATACAAATTTCTATTATGTATTTATAGGAAAATCAAAACGTGCAAGCGCGTTGGTTGCAGCTGTGGAAAAGGCTACGGAAAATTTTATTCAAAAAGGCGAACAGATTGCCTATGAGAACCCCGACATTACTCAAGAAATGTTAGCAGCTGTCGATGAAGTGAAAAAAACCGGCGATGCTATGAGTATTGCAGCTAGGGAATTCTCCGAAGATCCATGTAGTTCTTTAAAGAGAGGGAATATGGTGCGAGCAGCTAGAAATCTGCTATCAGCTGTAACTCGTTTGCTCATTTTAGCTGACATGGTAGATGTTCATTTACTTCTCAAATCGCTTCATATTGTGGAGGATGATTTAAACAAACTAAAAAATGCATCAAGTCAGGACGAGCTTATGGACAATATGAGGGTATGTTTTGCATTAATCATTACTTTTTAATCTTTCACTTGTTTCATATTAATAACAACAAGAAAGAAAGTTAGCTTCGGCTAGCCGAAGCTTTTATACCAGGGGTGCTCAAATTCGTCTTATGGCAGTGCGTTTACTTACACACCCACAAGAAAACGTGTACATATGTAGCGGCGCGTTTGTGTTGGGGCGCAGCTGTGCACTGAGAGAAAAAAAAAAGTTTTTACCTCCAGAACTACGAAGCATATTACGCATTGTACTTCGCATTTAAGTTTATGCTAAAATAACTGCTCTCTAATTCATCACTCATTTTGATCCGCCAAACAATTTAACATAACACCTACGATGGTCCACCACGAAATAAATCAAAAGCCAACGCAGACAGAAAAATAAGTTTCAGTGCATGTGCTCGAGGAAAAAACAAAAACAAAATACATTGCGTTCAGCGAAGCGTGACGACGGATAGAGATGTAATGAAGAAACAAGCAAAATTGTTTTTGTTTCGCATGCAAATCGAAGCCCATATGCACGGTGCTTATGCGCGCACTACCCATAAGCACAGAGCATCTACAAAAACAAAAGTGCACTCAGTGTATAGGCGTTGAGCACCCCTGGTTTAAGATCAATGATGAATTAGAGAGCAGTTATTTTAGCATAAACTTTAAATGCGAAGTACAATTCGTAATATGCTTCGTAGTTCTGGAGGTAAAAACTTTTTTTTTCTCTCAGTGCACAGCTGCGCCCCAACACAAACGCGCCGCTACATATGTACACGTTTTCTTGTGGGTGTGTAAGTAAACGCACTGCCATAAGACGAATTTGAGCACCCCTGTTTAAGATCTTTAGTGTCGCTGATACGCACACACGCAAGGGTGCCGATCACTGATAAATACGTATGCAACAGCGTGTTTTTAAGCTTAAATTTGGCAGTATTGCACTGTATTTTTTTCGTCACGATGCAATATCCGGTTGAATTTTTTAATATTTTTTAAAAAATTTGGTTCCTATTTCGGCTTTTTGGCACCTATGTTAAATCATATCTTATGTTATTATAAAGACCATAAAAACATAAAAAAAATATATATCTTCTTTTTAAAAATGTTTATTTTCGGTAAACAAGTTTTTTTTAGATGTCAATTTAATCCACACTTAATTTCTTCATTAGCAATTCGGTCGCAATGCTGGAGAACTTATAAAACAAGCAGCCAAACGTCAACAGGAACTCAAGGATCCTCAGTTAAGAGATGATTTAGCTGCTGCTCGTGCGATGCTTAAAAAGCATTCTACTATGCTTTTGACTGCATCAAAAGTATATGTTCGCCATCCCGAACTGGATCTAGCAAAAGTAAATCGCGATTTTATTCTCAAACAAGTTTGTGATGCTGTGAATACTATCAGCGATGTTGCTCAAGGAAAGTCATCCCAACCGACAGATATTTACAGTGGAGCAGGAGAACTAGCTGCAGCATTGGATGATTTTGACGTAAGTTAAAGAAAATGATTTAAATAATTGGTCATGATTAAGACATGTCAGTCTTTAATTTTAGATGTCTTAGTGTTAAATCTGTACCGTCGATAAAAAGAAAGAAAGTTTTTTCGACGACCCGAAGTCTATATGCTTTGGTCTACAAAACGACTAGTGTTATCAAAAATTTTAAAAATAACATATTTTTCTTCTGTTATGATAAGGTTGTCAAATATATCTGTTTTCGGTTTCTGTGTCGGTTTCTATGTAAACTAGTCTCCCAATTTTAAAACTATCTTGCTGAAATTATACCAAAATTTGTGTAGTTACTACACCCAGTATATAAGTCAGAACGGGCCAGATGGGGCGCCTAGGTATATCGGATAGCTCCCATACAAAAGACTGACATAAAACTTATCACATCGCTGTTTTTTATCATATCGAATGGATTTCTTTTAGATGGTGATTTTTAACTACTATCGAATTTGTAATTAAATTTTATCAAAATCGGACCACTATATCGTATAGCTGCCATAGGAAAGTTCGAAAAGAATATATAGGGGAATGTGGGGATAGGTGAACCATGGGGATAGATGAACCACTAGTAATATTTCACCTTCTATCAGGATTTTGTGCACCATCTTCATATGTGTTATTTATCCAGTCGGTATCTTAACATCACACGTACGCGTGATCGCGTCAAACAATTGCTGTCATTTCTATCACTAATCAAAGTTTTTGTGCGCCTTTCGCAGCTATTTGCGACCTGACGTTTTCTTGGGAAAAATTTATTGTGCTCCGCCTGTGGCATTAAACTCTAGAAAATTTGTTGTTAACTTAAATAGACGCAAATTATGTTATTTTCACGTATATCTCACGCATTTCAAAATATTCCATTAGCCTGAAAGGTGGTTCAACTATGTTTGTGGGGTGACAACTATGTTTGTGGGGTGACAACTATGTTTGTGGGGGACAAAAATTTAAAATGCTCATAAAGTTAAAAAAAGTGGCATATTATTTTCACAAAATACTGGCAAAGGAATGAATGCTCTTTTAGATTCCTGTAAACAACAGACCCTAACGTCGAATGATATATGATATTGATATTATAAGTGCCTTATTTTATTTAAATAAAAATATTATTTCTTTAAGGACCGCATTACTATATAATATAGTTGATATATGAAAAAATTTAAAATATATGCAAAATTCAACAGAAGTGAAGTTCATATAAAGTTGCCAAAAATCTCCCTTCCGCCTTTTTGCCTTTTGAATTTCGCTAAAGAGCTCGTATGGTATTAAGCATCAATTTGAAGGTCTTGACATAACCTACAAAACGACTCTCCTTCGTTAATGGTTTCGACGATTCAGAACCTGTGTAAACGACACCAAGGATAAGCCAGCCGTCAAAAGACCTGTGACGACGAAATCCGCTCAGATAATGAAATACATGGAGTTGACAGGCATGTGGCAGCTATATGATATAGTTGTCCGATTTTGATAAAATTAAAAAATTAAATTCAAGAGTCGTTAAAAAATTCTATATCCCAAAAATCATGCTTTTCTGATGAAAAACAACGATGTTATAATTGTATTTCCAGTAATTCTATATAGATTTTTCTATCTTTCCTATGGAAACTATATGATAACGTTGTCGGATTTTAATGACATTTTTTTCTAGATTCAAGGGTTATTAAGCTCCATATTCTGAAAAACATGCTCGTGGGATTAAAAACAATGACCGTATAATTTTTTTTTCGATTATTTTTATATATATTTTTTGAATCTTTCCTATGGAAGTTATATGATGGTTATCCGATTTTGATCAATTTTAATCCGAAATAGAAGTTAGAAGAAATCTGGAAAAAATCAAGTCGATATGATCAAAAACAACGGCGTGGGAATTTTTTTTTCATTCTCTTGTATGGGAGCTATCCGATATAGCCAGCCGATCCGGCCCGTTCCGACTTATATACTGCGTGCAACAACTATACAACTTTTGGGAAAATGTCAGCAAGATAGCTTTAAAACTGAGAGACTAGTTTGGGCAGAAACGGACAGAAGGACAGACAGACGTGCAGACGTATTTGGATTCAGATCGTGATGCTGATCAAGAATATATATCCTTTATGGGGTCTGAGGTGTCTCCTTCACTGCGTTGCAAACTTCTGACTGAAATTATAATACCCTTTGCTCTGCAAGGGTATAAAAACAACAGACTAGTTCACATAGAAATAGACAGACGGGCAGACGTACAGACGTATTTCGATTTAGATCGTGATGCTGATCAAGAATATATGTTACTTTATGGGGTCTAGGGTTTATTTTTTTTAGATTTTATTGCTTTACCTGCGGCAGGCAATTCTCGTTTTCAGTGATATACATATTAATCTTTATATATATATATATAAAAATTATCTTGAAATGTTCTTGGATGTCTAGGATAAAGTAAACAAGAAAGGAAGCTAGCTTCGGCAAGCCGAAGCTTATATACCCTTGCAGATCTCAAATATGTCGAACAAAATGCATAAAGCCTAACAACATCGAAGCTATGAGGATTTTTCTATTCATTTTCCATATTTTCGACTATAGATCAAATGGGAGCTAAATGATATAGTTGTCCGATTTTGATCAAATTTAATTCGTAATTCAAGAATCGTAAAAAAAACTCTATATTCCAAAAACCATACTTGCCTGATGAAAAACAACGATGTTATAATTTTATTTCCGTTATTTCTATATAGATTTTTCGATCTTTCCTATGGCAGCTATAAGATATAGTTGTCCGATTTTTATGAAACTTTTTTCTCAATATAAGGGTTGTTAAAAAACTTGATATTCAAAAAATCATGCTCGTGGGATAAAAAACAACGATGCTATCAATTTATTTCGATTAATTCTATGTATATATATTTTTCGATCTCTCCTATGGCAGCTATATGATAGAGTTATCCGAATTTGTTCAAATTTAATCCGAAATTCAATAACAGTTAGAAAACGCCATCTTGAAGAAATCAAGTCGATCTGATCAAAAACAACGGTGTGAGAATTTTTCATTTCATTTCCTCGTATGGGAGCTATCTGATATAGTCGGCCGATCCGGCTCGTTCCGACCTATATACTGCGTGCAACAACTACACACCTTTTGGGAAAGTTTCAGCAAGATAGCTTTAAAACTGAGAGACTAGTTTGGGCAGAAACGGACAGAAGGACAGACAGACGTGCAGACGTATTTGGATTCAGATCGTGATGCTGATCAAGAATATATATCCTTTATGGGGTCTGAGGTGTCTCCTTCACTGCGTTGCAAACTTCTGACTGAAATTATAATACCCTTTGCTCTGCAAGGGTATAAAAACAACAGACTAGTTCACATAGAAATAGACAGACGGGCAGACGTACAGACGTATTTCGATTTAGATCGTGATGCTGATCAAGAATATATGTTACTTTATGGGGTCTAGGGTTTATTTTTTTTTAGATTTTATTGCTTTACCTGCGGCAGGCAATTCTCGTTTTCAGTGATATACATATTAATCTTTATATATATATATATAAAAATTATCTTGAAATGTTCTTGGATGTCTAGGATAAAGTAAACAAGAAAGGAAGCTAGCTTCGGCAAGCCGAAGCTTATATACCCTTGCAGATCTCAAATATGTCGAACAAAATGCATAAAGCCTAACAACATCGAAGCTATGAGGATTTTTCTATTCATTTTCCATATTTTCGACTATAGATCAAATGGGAGCTAAATGATATAGTTGTCCGATTTTGATCAAATTTAATTCGTAATTCAAGAATCGTAAAAAAAACTCTATATTCCAAAAACCATACTTGCCTGATGAAAAACAACGATGTTATAATTTTATTTCCGTTATTTCTATATAGATTTTTCGATCTTTCCTATGGCAGCTATAAGATATAGTTGTCCGATTTTTATGAAACTTTTTTCTCAATATAAGGGTTGTTAAAAAACTTGATATTCAAAAAATCATGCTCGTGGGATAAAAAACAACGATGCTATCAATTTATTTCGATTAATTCTATGTATATATATTTTTCGATCTCTCCTATGGCAGCTATATGATAGAGTTATCCGAATTTGTTCAAATTTAATCCGAAATTCAATAACAGTTAGAAAACGCCATCTTGAAGAAATCAAGTCGATCTGATCAAAAACAACGGTGTGAGAATTTTTCATTTCATTTCCTCGTATGGGAGCTATCTGATATAGTCGGCCGATCCGGCTCGTTCCGACCTATATACTGCGTGCAACAACTACACACCTTTTGGGAAAGTTTCAGCAAGATAGCTTTAAAACTGAGAGACTAGTTTGGGCAGAAACGGACAGAAGGACAGACAGACGTGCAGACGTATTTGGATTCAGATCGTGATGCTGATCAAGAATATATATCCTTTATGGGGTCTGAGGTGTCTCCTTCACTGCGTTGCAAACTTCTGACTGAAATTATAATACCCTTTGCTCTGCAAGGGTATAAAAACAACAGACTAGTTCACATAGAAATAGACAGACGGGCAGACGTACAGACGTATTTCGATTTAGATCGTGATGCTGATCAAGAATATATGTTACTTTATGGGGTCTAGGGTTTATTTTTTTTAGATTTTATTGCTTTACCTGCGGCAGGCAATTCTCGTTTTCAGTGATATACATATTAATCTTTATATATATATATATAAAAATTATCTTGAAATGTTCTTGGATGTCTAGGATAAAGTAAACAAGAAAGGAAGCTAGCTTCGGCAAGCCGAAGCTTATATACCCTTGCAGATCTCAAATATGTCGAACAAAATGCATAAAGCCTAACAACATCGAAGCTATGAGGATTTTTCTATTCATTTTCCATATTTTCGACTATAGATCAAATGGGAGCTAAATGATATAGTTGTCCGATTTTGATCAAATTTAATTCGTAATTCAAGAATCGTAAAAAAAACTCTATATTCCAAAAACCATACTTGCCTGATGAAAAACAACGATGTTATAATTTTATTTCCGTTATTTCTATATAGATTTTTCGATCTTTCCTATGGCAGCTATAAGATATAGTTGTCCGATTTTTATGAAACTTTTTTCTCAATATAAGGGTTGTTAAAAAACTTGATATTCAAAAAATCATGCTCGTGGGATAAAAAACAACGATGCTATCAATTTATTTCGATTAATTCTATGTATATATATTTTTCGATCTCTCCTATGGCAGCTATATGATAGAGTTATCCGAATTTGTTCAAATTTAATCCGAAATTCAATAACAGTTAGAAAACGCCATCTTGAAGAAATCAAGTCGATCTGATCAAAAACAACGGTGTGAGAATTTTTCATTTCATTTCCTCGTATGGGAGCTATCTGATATAGTCGGCCGATCCGGCTCGTTCCGACCTATATACTGCGTGCAACAACTACACACCTTTTGGGAAAGTTTCAGCAAGATAGCTTTAAAACTGAGAGACTAGTTTGAAGAGAAACAGACAGACGGCCAGACGGACAGACGTACAGACGTATTCTGATTCTACTTGTGATGCTGATCAAGAATATATATGGGTGATTCCATATCAGATTTACAGTCGATATCGGGAAATTCGATGAGATATTTTTTTTCATGCTCTTTATCAAAAATAAATCGACACGTATTTTTTTATATGGCTCAGAAAATTTTTTTGTAAAAGTTATGATTTTTTGAATTTTTGATGAACTGCCCTTTTTTGATGACAGTCGCGTTTTCCAGCCCCAATAACTCGAAAACCGTACGTCGCAGAAAAAAATGAATAGGAAGTAAAAATTTCATCCTTCCTTCTTCTTTGCAAAACTTTCATGAAAAAATTTTTTTAAACAATTTTTCACCACAAAAAGTTCAAATGTTTATAACAAATTCATTTTTCTCCAACTTGGACATTTTTGATTTTTTTTTTTTTTCACAGTAAATCCTTCAAATTCTTCTGATGAACATACTAAAATTTCAGAATGGTATCAAAATTAGTTTTTGAGTTATAGAATTAAATAGCATTAAAAATTCATTTTATTGACCCTTACTATGCGCGCGCGAAGCGAATTGACGCTCGTTAGAGTCGTTGGTCGGCGCACGCCCTGAGACCGAGCGCGCGGACCGTGCATGATAATCTTTAAAATTCTATAACTCAAAAACTAATTTTGATACCATTCTGAAATTTTAGTATGTTCATCAGAAGAATTTGAAGGATTTACTGTGAAAGAAAAAAAAAAAATCAAAAATGTCCAAGTTGGAGAAAAATGAATTTGTTATAAACATTTGAACTTTTTGTGGTGAAAAATTGTTTAAAAAAATTTTTTCATGAAAGTTTTGCAAAGAAGAAGGAAGGATGAAATTTTTACTTCCTATTCATTTTTTTTCTGCGACGTACGGTTTTCGAGTTATTGGGGCTGGAAAACGCGACTGTCATCAAAAAAAGGGCAGTTCATCAAAAATTCAAAAAATCATAACTTTGTCAAAAAATTTTCTGAGCCATATAAAAAATACGTGTCGATTTATTTTCGATAAAGAGCATGAAAAAAATATCTCATCGAATTTCCCGATATCGACTGTAAATCTGATATGGAATCACCCATATACTTTATGGGGTCTGAGGTGTCTCCTTCACTGCGTTGCAAACTTCTGACTGAAATTATAATACCCTTTTGCTCTGCAAGGGTATAAAAAGTGAGAACAATTCAAAATACAATTCAAATTTTTTAGGAATGCCCTTAAAAACAGTCCTTTTCTTTGTATTCTTTATTAAAAAAGTTTTCTAAAAAAAATAGTTATGCATTTCTCACATCGATTTAAGGGGGGAAATACAATTAGAAGGCCTGAAATGAGGGCTATCTTTGGGAGTGGATTGCAAGTAGGGTATTAAATGAATCTTAGCGATTCTTTTTGCATGTTATTAGGTAATTATTGAGCAATAAAAATCAGTCAAGTTTTTTGAAAAATATTGTAATTAAGCCCATTTATGATCAATAATGTGGAGTCGTGTTTTTAGGGAAGGACTTTGCGCCGTGCAGTTTCTAGGTCCAGGATCACGACTTAAACAAAAAACAGAAACTGGGCTTTAAACTTAAAGGTACAGCGCACACCATAAATTATTCCATATTTGAAAAAAATTATTTTTCCATTAAAAAATTTGAAGTTAAAAAAAATAAAAAAAAAAACGATTTTTTTCGACTTTGTTTGTAAAATAAACATGCTATAAGAAACATGGTGTGGAGAATTTAATTTCAAACATAATGCAAAAAACCGCGTTCGATTAAAATGAAATCTCTGACCTGTACATTGCACGGCGACTTTGAAAACACGACTTTTCAGGAGAAGCGTTTAAAGTTTACTTTTGTGCATGTCCGCCATATGACACACCCTCACTAAATTGCGTATAACTTTGAAAATAAGTACCGGACGGCTTTATGCTTTTAAAGACTAATTCCCAGACATATTTAGAGTACATTAACCCAAAAAAATTTTTTTCGAAAAAAAAAATTTCTAATTGTATTTCCCCACTTAATTAAGGGGGGCTTCTCATGTAAAATTTAAAAAAACGTTATCGATAGAATAACGTCTTGAGAGTATATTCCCGAAGTTTTATGACTCAATTCTCAATATTATGGAAAATATTAGTGATTGAACGAACGCGCTCGGGCGCGCTTTGTATGCTAACTCAAAACTTTAAATCGTTTTTTCTCAAAACTATGATTTTAAAAACGCGGTACACGGTTACGAAAAAACTACTGAACCGATTTTTGATTTCTAAAAAGTGTTTTGCAGATTATACATTGAACGAGTGCATGAATATCTGAAATTGTGAAAAAAGTTATTTTAATCACTTTACAGCCCAATTCAGCAAAAAAAAGACGAAAAAATGACACTTTTTTTCAAGACGTGATTTCAATATTTTAAAATCGAATTTTTTGAAGTTGCAGACATTCATGCACTCGGGGAACCTTGCTGAATAATAAAAAATTTTTTTTGTATGTTTAAGAGGAAAACTTTGGGCTCCACACTGTACCGCAAAAGGTCCCTCAGCCGCGTCGAGCCACACGCGACCTTGAATAAGTCCGCCATTTTGTTTTTTAGAATTTTCAAAAAATGTTTTTCTCATACCTTAAACATGTCTTCAAATAAATGCAAAAAATTATTCGTGTAAGTTTTCAGTTTCCAAGTGAAAAAAATTCCGAAAAAACAACTACTTCTTGACATGTTACATGAGAAGCCCCCTTAAGATGCCAAGGAGAAGTCGTCCTGACAATTAAAAGTGCAAAGAACTACCTCACGTGTGTGACATTTGTGGTGTGGAAACGATAAATAATATTAGCTTATATTAGGTACCAAGCATAAAGGCAAGCGCAATCTATATGATATTGGCGATCTATTGACAACATTTTCGAACTTCGCAGGCGAAGGTGCTGGGCCTTTACTAGTATACAATAAATATAAAAAAATATTTATTTTCTTCTTCAGGAAGGCATCGTAATGGATCCTATGACCTATAGCGAAAAGCGTTCGCGACAATTGCTAGAAGAACGGTTAGAGAGTATTATTAGTGCGGCAGCGTTAATGGCGGATGCAGACTGCACTCGAGACGAACGACGAGAGAGAATAGTGGCCGAATGCAATGCTGTACGACAGGCTTTACAAGATTTGCTTTCTGAATATATGTCAAACGTAAGTATTTTGTCTGGTATACCTATTTTCCCGATAACACATTTTGTTTTTTTAGATGAGTCAAAAAGATAATAGCCCTGGACTTTCCAGAGCGATTGACCAAATGTGTCGCAAAACTCGTGATCTTCGAAGGCAACTACGAAAAGCTGTTGTTGATCACGTTTCTGACTCATTTTTGGAAACAACAACTCCTTTGTTGGATTTAATCGAAGCTGCGAAGACCGGTAATGAAAAAAAGGTTCGGGAAAAAGCTGATATTTTTACTAAGCACGCTGAAAAACTCGTTGAAGTAGCTAATTTGGTTTGTAGCATGTCAAGCAATGAAGATGGTGTTAAAATGGTTCGGTACGCTGCTGCCCAAATTGAAAGTCTTTGCCCACAAGTCATAAATGCAGCATCTATTTTGACTGTACGACCCAATTCCAAAGTAGCTCAAGAAAATATGACTACTTATAGGCAAGCTTGGGAAGTTCAAGTTCGTATACTTACCGAAGCAGTGGATGATATTACAACTATTGATGACTTTCTTGCTGTATCTGAGAACCACATTCTTGAAGATGTTAATAAATGTGTAATGGCTTTGCAAATTGCTGATGCTAGAGACTTGCGTACCACTGCTGGAGCCATTCAAGGTCGTTCTTCGCGAGTTTGTAATGTTGTTGAAGCTGAAATGGACAATTATGAACCATGTATTTATACCAAAAGAGTGCTAGAAGCAGTAAAAGTTCTTCGAGAGCAAGGTATGTATAAACACGACAAAGACTCACATTTCAAAGGGGTTAACCTCCCTGACATAAAAGGAATAGGAGTCGATAAAGCCAAGACAGTCTGTCCTTTTCGCTGACTTAGTCTTTAAATTTGAAGATAGGTTCAATAATGAAAAGAAAAGAGAAAGAAAGAAAGCTAGCTTTTGCGATTCGAAGCTTATATGTATAACCTAGCAGGTAAAACTTTGGCCGACTATATCAGATAGCTCCCATACGAGAGAATGAAATAAAAAATTGTCACGCCGTTTTTGATCAGATCGACTTGATTTCTCCAGATTTCTTCTAACTAACTTCCATTTCGGATTAAAATTGATCAAAATCGGATAACTATCATATAACTTCCATAGGAAAGATCGAAAAATAATAAATAAATAATGGAAAAAAATTATCTGAGAGCAAAAACCAAAACGGTTTCATGTTCTGTATTGAATTATCAATTTGTTTTTCATCACACGACTATGATTTTTTGAGTATCAAGTTTTTCAACTAGCCTTGATTTATAAAAAAAATCATAATCATAAAAATCGGACAACTATATCAAATAGCTGCCATAGGAAAGATCGAAAAACCTATATAGAATTAACGGAAATAAAATGATAACATCGTTATTTCTCATCAGAAAATCATGATTTTTGGAAAATATAGAGTTTTCTAACGACTCTTGAATAACAAATAAAATTTCATCAAAAGCAGACGACTTTATCATATAGCTGCCATATGAACAATAGTCAAAAATATGGAAAATTAATAGAAAAGTCGTCGTAGCTTCGGTGTTGTTTAACCTTTGTGTATTCTGTTCGAAATATTTGATGACTGCAAGGGTATATAAGCTTGGGCTGCCGAAGCTAGCTTCCTTTCTTGTTTTTTTTTTTTTTTTTTTGACAGCACTTTAAAAAACGTCGAAAAACGAAGTCTCTTTTGGTTGTACTACCTACCTACCTACCTTGCCTAACAATAGACTAGACCTACTATCCCCCCTACTACTACTACTATTACTAATACCTACATACTACCTAGCCACCAACAACCTAGTGTTTTGTCAACCAGGTTCTGCTCGAATAAACCACCGATTGAAACATCTGCTTTTATTGATGTTACTCTAGTTATCGCATAATAACAATATCGACGCATTTCCACAAATGTATCATATGTTGAAAAATCCAATTTTACAGGAGAAGCTTTTTTTTATTTAATCTCTTAGGAGCACTGTAACAAACGATAAAATTGAAACTTAATTTTTATCGGAACTATAGGGTTTTCAGTTATAATATTTCACAGGGTAGTGAGACATTAGGTGCCTAACAATTTTGCATTCAAATCTCAATTTCGAAAAAAAGCGACATACGAAATGCGTCGATATTTGTAATTAATCTCGTCGTTTCATAGTTTATAATTTTTAACAGCATAGGTACTTAAACTTCTGGTTCCCGAAGCTTTCTTTCTTTCGTTTGTTTTAAATTAGGAAAAATAATTTTTTATTTCTAATTTAAAAAAAAGTTTCACTGATAAATTTTTTGCATTTGTAGTTATGATGAAATTTGAACAACGCGTGGGAGCTGCAGTTGGAGCGCTTTTAAATAGCTCAAATAAAGATGTTGACGAAAATGACTTTATTGATGCTTCTCGTTTGGTGTACGACGGAGTCCGTGAAATTCGAAGAGCCGTTTTAATGAATCGAGTAAGTAGTCGATTTTTATACCCTTTAATCGTGAAGTAAAAGGTATACGGTTTTTTATACACCTCAGACCCCATAAATTATATATATTCTTGATCAGCATCACGATCTGAGTCGAAATACATCAATACATCTGTCCGTTTGTCCGTCTGTCCGTTTTTATGTAAACTAGTCTCCCAGTTTTAAAGCTATCTTGTTGAAACTTTCCCAATTTTGTGTATTTATTGCACGCATTATATAAGTCGGAACGGGCTGGATCGGGCGACTATATCGGAAAGATATTCTCTCCATACGAGAGAATGAAATACAAAATTTTCACGCCGTTTTTTTTTTATCAGATCGACTTGATTTCTTCCATATGGCGTTTTCTTACCACTATCAAATTCTGGATAAAATTTTATCAAAATCGGATAACTCCATAATATAGCTGACAATGAAAAGATCGAAAAATATATAAGGTTGTCAAAATTTTATTGAATTTTCAATTATTCATAAAATTGGTCATAAAATAACATCGTTATTTTTTTTTATCATAATCATGATTTTTGGAATATATGTTTTTTAATGACTCTTGAGTTTACAATTAAATTTCATCAAAAGCGGACGACTATATCTCGTCATGCTTTGATGTTGTTTAGCCTTTATGTATTTTGTTCGACATATTTAATGACTGGAAGCGTATATGAGCTTCGGCTTGCCGAAGCTAACTTTATTTCTTGTTGCTAATTTATCTTACTTGTGAAATTTTTGCTTTCGGTTTTGAAATCTCTTATTTTTGTATATTAATCTGGACTTTAACGTGGTTGATTTTGATGATACAAATAAAAAAAAATTACGTCTAACAAACACATACATATAATGATTTACTACAAGGTCCGGCACTCGAAGTGTTACCAATTAAAAAGGTTATAAATTAAGTTTGGAAAGTTCGTTTTTTTTTTCAATTCACAGCTCAATATGTGTAAAAAGAATATAAAATTTAAGAAAAATTTATTTTTGCTCCTGTTGAAATGTCCATGGTCTGCCACCGAAATGTCTGCCCACGGCTTTAAGGCAACCTTCAGAATACTTTCCTGATAATATTTTGCATTTACCTTGACGCCAGGCTCGATAAAAAAGATTGGTCAGCGCCCATCTGGGGTTACAGCGGCCCAAATCATTACCTATGATGGGTGGTGGCTCCTGGTTACCAATCGATGGCTCAAACTCTCGTACGAACGGTCAGTCAAGTAAACCCTATCGTTTTGGGTGTTTACGAATTGCTCAATTGCAAAAATTTTCTCATCAAAAAACACAATGTTCGGAAATTGCCCACTTGCGTCCAAGCGAAGCAACGTTCTTCGACAGTCTCAAGGCTATACCCAGCGGGAAAAACCTGTGGAAAACATGTTTCTTTCCAGAGGTTTCTTCATACAAGCGGAAGGGCAAAAACCTCATTCACCCCTTACATTTTTGCTGTCTCTCCTTTCAAAATTCACGAGGGTGACACACAAAAGTAAGGGGTGAAGGAGGTTTCTATGTGGAAATCCACTGGTTTTTGTCCTGAAAATGATATATCCCCTTACCTACGCCTGCTAAAAGAAGTAGGTTTTCATCTATCCTGGGTAGTCACCCAGCGGGAAAGTGGGAAGGAGGTCTTTTGAGTACTGGAAATCCATAAAATCTTTTAGCAGGCGTAGGGGTAGGGATAGATGAAAACCTACTTCTTTTAGCTGGCGTAGGTATTAACCCTTGTGCAAAGATGTCGTTCTGCCCTTGGCTGCAAACTTTTTTTTTTTTTTTTTTTTTGTAAAGGAGAAACTATTAATAGCTGCTAAGAAACATTAATTTAGATATTAAAAACTTTTACTTAAAGATTGGCATTTATTTTAAAATTAAGAACCTAAACAAAAAAATAGCTATCCAAAATCAAAAACAACGTTTAATTTTAAATTCAAAACTATTAAAAATTAAATTATAAAAAACATCAACACTTTTTACTATAAATGAGCAATTTAAGCCCCATGCACCATCTAAGGGTAAAACAACAAGCTCTATTGTCGTTTTACTCGCACTTACTACGCAGACTCCTCTTACTCGCACTTTTTGTGAGTAATGAATAACGGAGTGCTTTTTGCCGACGAGACTACCTTGTATTATTGTACCATTGTCAATGCAAAAGGTGGTCATATCGAGCAAATATGAATTTTTCTTAAATTTTAAATTATTTGTACACATATTGAGCTGGGAATTTAAAAACAACTAACTTCCAAACTTAATTTTTAACCTTTTTATTTTGTTACAATTCGAGTGCCGGACCCTGTGGATAAAAAGTGAGAAAAGGAAAAAAATAATGCTCGATTTTTTGAAGAAATCACCATAACTCTCCCCTTAATAATAAAATAATTTTAATTAACATTTTTAGAGCTCGGAAGACCTTGATACTGATACAGAATTTGAGCCTGTTGAAGACTTGACTTTAGAAACTCGAAGTCGATGTAAGTAAATATAAGTGAATTTTATTTAAATTTTTCTAAATCAACTTGTTTAATGCATTTTAAAATTACTGGGATCCTTTCTTGATTATATCTAAAACATATGTTTTATTATACCCTTGCCGAGAGTATTTTAGTTTCCGTCAGAAGTTTGCAACGCAGTGAAGGCGACACTTCAGACCCCATAAAGTATATAAATTTTTGATTAGCATTACAGTCTAAATCGAAATACGTGTGTACGTCTGTCTATTTCTATGTGAACTCGTCTGTTGTTTTTATACCCTTGTAGAGCAAAGGGTATTATAATTTTAGTCAGAAGTTTGCAATGCAGTGAAGGAGGCACCTCAGACCCCAAAAAGTATAAACTGTATATTCTTGATCAGTATCACGATCAGAATCCAAATACGTCTGTACGTCTGTCCCTGTGTCCGGCTGACCAAAAGGTGTGTAGTTATTGCACGCAGTTTATAAGTCGGAACGGGCCGGATCGGACGACTATATCGGATAGCTCCCATACGAGAGAATGACATAAATGATTTCCACGCCGTTGTTTTTGATCAGAATGACTTGATTTCTTCCAGATGGAGATTTCTAACTACTATTGAATTTCGGATTAAATTTTATCAAAACCGGATTACTCTATCATATAGCTGCCATAGGAAAGATCAAAAAATATATAAATAAATAGTTGAAAAAATATTATAATATCGTTGTTTTTCATCCCACGAGCATGATTTTCAAAATGCGTTGTTTTTAATAACCCTTGAATCTAGAAAAAAATTTCATAAAAATCTGACAACGTTATTATATAGCTGCCATAGGAAAGATCGAAAAATGTATATATATATATAACGGAAATAAAATGATAACATCGTTGTTTTTCATAGGACAAGCATGATTTTTGGAATATAGAGTTTTCTAACAACTCTTGAATGCCGAATTAAATTTCATCAAAATCGGACGACTATATCATATAGCTCCCATATGATCTATAGTCGAAAATATGGAAAATGAATAGAAAAATCGTCTTAGCTTCGATGTTGTTCAGCCTTTATGCATTTTGTTCGACATATTTGATGACTGCAAGGGTATATAAGCTTCGGCTTGCCGAAGCTAGCTTCCTTTCTTGTTACTTCTAGAAGTCACTACACAGTGTATTCCGCGATAGAAAATGGTGCCTCATCTGTAATAGTTCCTCTAGCATTACTTATTTACAAAGAAATCAGGTTTTGGTGATGAATTCTGAGTAAGATACCTGCAATAGAAAAAAGACTTTTGGGATATTTATTATTAGTTTATCGGCTTGCAGAAGCTAGCTTTTTTATTGTAAAATTGTATGTCTTATAACATTTTTATATATATTTCAGCAAGTGCTCATACTGGCGATCAAACAGTTGATGAGTATCCGGACATTAGTGGCATATGTACAGCTCGAGTAAGTCATGGTACAACTAATTAAGTGATTTGTAAAAATATAAAAATATTTTTAGGAAGCTATGCGAAAAATGACTGAAGAAGATAAACAGAAAATAGCTCAACAGGTCGAGTTGTTCCGCAGGGAAAAACTTACCTTTGATTCAGAAGTTGCTAAATGGGATGATACTGGAAATGACATAATTTTTCTAGCTAAACATATGTGTATGATTATGATGGAAATGACCGACTTTACCAGGTAAGTGTTTATGCCCTTTACGTCGTTTAGTCCCCTCCTACGACCAGTAATAACGATATACTCTAAGCATATGGATTTATATTGCAAATGTTTTTGTTTAAAAAAGACATTCGCGGCGTCTTTATAACCGAAATTCAAATCAGAGCTGCCAGATGCTTCGCGAAGAAGAGTAAAATTAATAGAACTCAGTATATTTCCCCACCACTCGACTTTACCTCTTTGAACGCGACAAGAACGCGAAATTCTAAGATATTTTAAATTTCATATTTGCAAAAAACGTTGATATAGTAAACTAAAAAATATACTGCCTAGGAATTTCATAGAAGCAACAGTTTCTTAACCACATAAGTTGCAGGTTATTGTACATTTCAAAGTTTTAAATTATTTTCATAATCTAAGATCTAATATAATTTGCAGAATCTACAATTCATTCAATCTTTTTCGATGTTCTATATACGAAATTGATATAACCCACAAAGTCCTCGTATATACTTTTAAACAATATTAAATTGAAAATAATTTCTTATTTAGAGCACTGAAAATAGATAGGTCCTTAAAAAAAGTCGTATATATAATATATTTATATATATATACACATATGATGCATATGATAAAAATTATAACGTCGTTTTTTTTTTATTCCACGAGCATGACTTTTAAAACATAGAACCACTATATCATATAGCTGCCATAGGAAAAATCGAAAAGTTTATATAGAATTAAGGGGAGAGCCCAGTTTATGAAGTCGAAATATTTCTGTTTTTCATGATTTTTTTTTACCAGGAAGGAATAATTGCAAATTGTTTAAACTTGGAGGATATTTTATTTATGTTTTTAAGTACACTTTCAAATTTTTTCAAACGATTTTCGCCGGAAATAGTGGAGTCACCGCGTGCAGTCAATGGGCGATTGCCATACGAGCTTTTGGCTTGCGTGCATCCCTGACGTCGAAATTTTTATACCCTTGCAGAGCAAAAGGGTATTATAATTTCAGTCAGAAGTTTGCAACGCAGTGAAGGAGACACATTAGACCCCTTAAAGTATATATATTCTTGATCAGCATCACTATCTAAATCGAAATATGTATGTACGTCTGTCCGTCGGTCCGTCTGTCCGTCTGTCTGTTTCTATGTAAACTAGTCTCTCAGTTTTAAAGCTATCTTGCTGAAACTTTCCCAAAAGTTGTGTAGTTATTGCACGCAGTATATAAGTCGGATCGGGCCGGATCGGCCGACTATATCGGATAGCTTGATTTCTTCCATATGGCATTTTCTAACTACTATTGAATTTCGGATTAAATTTTATCAAAATCGGACAACTCTATCATATAGCTGCCATAGGAAAGATCGAAAAATATATATAGAATTAATGGAAATAAATTGATAACATATTTTTTTTTTATCCCACGAGCATGATTTTTTTAAATATCAAGTTTTTTAACAACCCTAATATTGAGAAAAAAGTTTCATAAAAATCGGACAGCTATATCTTATAGCTACCATACGAAAGATCGAAAAATCTATATAGAAATGACGGAAACAAAAATTATAACATCGTTGTTTTTCATCAGACAAGTATAATTTTTGGAATATTTAGTTTTCTAACAACTCTTGAATTACTAATTAAATTTGATCAAAATCGAACAACTATATCATATAGCTCCCATATGATCTATAGTCGAAAATATGGAAAATGAATAGAAAAAATCGTCTAAGCTTCGATGTTGTTTAGCCTTTATGTATTTTTTTCGACATATTTGATGACTGCAAGGGTATATAAGCTTCGGCTTGCCGAAGCTAGCTTCCTTTCTTGTTTATGTAATTATCAGGATTTTTTTCCATTAAAAACATATTTTCTTAGAATATAAATCTAATTCTGATCAAAAAAAATTGAAAATTGCATGTTTTTGAGGTGTTTGAACACAATGTCAGGTTTTTGTACTATATTTTTTCTATATTTATTTCTTGCATAAATAAATATATTTTTAATAACAATATAATCCCCGAATTTGATTCATGTTCCGTGGAATTGAATAAAGAATATCTACTCCAAATTTAAGAACGATTAATCAGTAACTTTTTGAGCTAGAAGGTAAGCAAGTCGAAAAAAAGTCGTTTCGAGAAAAAACGTGTTTGAAATAAAATGTGCGCTGCTTCACAGGACGAACGGGCGGTCACAAGTGCTCATTGCTATCAAACTAACGGGAATTTTGCTTTAAAATGTTGACCACATAATCTTGAATAGTTATACTAACGATTCATGCAATAAAAAAAATCGTTTTTTCGATCGGTTTAAACTGGGTTCCCCAGTTAAATTAACGAAAAACAAGAAAGGAAGCTAGCTTCGGCAAGCCGAAGCTGATATACCCTTCAAGACATTAAATATGTCGAAGAAAAAACGTAAAGGCTAAACAACATCGAAGCCAAGTCAATGTTTTTATGAAGTTTCTATATTTTTGAGAATTGACAGCTATATGATACATATATAACACTGTGCGACAAAATTTGACAAAATCTTTGTTTAAGTTACTTTTTTGATTGTTTTCGGTTAAGGTGCATAAGTTATGCACAAAAATATTTATGCCACCTTCTAAGTGATAGGATTTCTTTTTTATGATAAATTTTATGAAATTATTATTATGAAAATATTTAACACAAAATATTATTTTTTTTTTACTTCCAATAAACTATTTTTTTTTTTAAAAGTGAAATTTTTTTCTGATTTTTTTTGGATTTTTCAGAGGTATCCTCGCGTAACAAGTTCCATACGTAGTCGCCCAGAGTATAGAGCTGGGAGAAAAAAACTTTAAAGCATTGTGATAAAAGCCTAACGGTATATTTGCTTAATACATTTTAATTAATAGATATTGAACTTGCATTAACGCTTATAACGGTGAAAAAATATTTTCCCAATATGTGATTATAAGGCTGTGAAATATGCAAAAACACGCGTTTTTGGGACATTTGAGTGTGCGTAGAAGCTGATTGGCTATTGATATTAACAAATCCACAAACTTGTATTCTTATTTTGATTAGTAGAAGTGAAAAATAAGAAAAAATCAACTTAAACATTTTTTTGTCGCACAGTGTAATATATCAATTAGAATGGACATAGTTTTCTTGTAGTTTATATGGCCTTTAAAAATATTCTTTAATTTTGCTTTTAAATTTCAGAGGGAGGGGACCCTTAAAAACTACCATGGATGTAATAAACGCAGCCAAAAAAATATCGGAAGCAGGTACAAAACTGGACAAACTAACCAGGGAAATAGCAGAACAATGCCCAGAAAGTAGCACCAAAAAAGATTTGCTAGCGTACTTGCAGCGTATTGCCCTTTATTGTCATCAAATTCAAATAACTTCAAAAGTAAAAGCAGACGTTCAAAACATTAGTGGCGAACTAATAGTTTCTGGAGTAAGAAGACCGTTTTTTGTTAAACTTCTAGATAAAATTTAAAAAAAAATACATTTTTTTTTAGCTGGATAGCGCAACATCGTTGATTCAAGCTGCTAAAAATTTAATGAACGCCGTTGTACTAACAGTAAAATACTCATATGTGGCATCAACAAAATATACAAGACAAGGAACTGTTTCTGTAAGTTTTACACAGAATTATAGAATTAACAGAATTAATATATTATTAAAATATCTAAATTTCCGTTATAGTCTCCAATTGTTGTATGGAAAATGAAAGCGCCAGAAAAAAAGCCTTTGGTCAGGCCGGAAAAGCCAGAAGAAGTACGAGCAAAAGTTCGTAAGGGGTCGCAAAAAAAGGTTCAAAACCCAATACATGCTTTGTCTGAATTCCAAAGTCCCGCCGATGCTGTATAAATTGTATCTCTACATTACGGTAAAAGAAGTAATACAGAAATTTGGTTCAGTATTGTGCTTGTGTTTGGGTTCCAAAACCAAGTTTTAAGCAGCTATTTATCACATTTTATGAATTAAAGCATTCTTAAATAAAAATCATTTACATCTTAACAAATAATAAAAAAGGAAAACAAACGCCCTTTTTTGCTTTTTTCTGCACTGGTGGGTCGCTTAAACTTCTTAGACTGCAATTAGCCTTTTTGTTTAATGTGTTCTAAATAATTAATAAATCAGTTATTTTTAATCTGTGCCATGTTGGTATCACAGAGTTTGGCGGTTGTTTCTTAAAACTTAATTCGTTCATGTTGAAATATGCAAGCGAAATGGTTCTTACTGTATACGATAGTTTTTTCATTTTTTCATAGTTTTAAATTATTTTCATTAATTAATTTGCAGGATCTGGAAAGGGGGACCTTGAACCGAGGGTTCTACTTCTCAGGATACTTGGTGCTGGGTAATCTGAGATTATGTGTAGGGAGGTTTCATCCTCGCTATCACAGAATCTGCATGTCTTGCTGTTTGCAATCCCTATATTTCATAGGTGACTTCTTAGTCTGCAATGTCCCGGTTAGTAAACCGGTAATTACCCTAAGTGAATTCTTCCCTTGTGGTATAAGTTTCTTAAACCTCTATATGTCATAATTGACAGGGGGACGCTCTTTTCAAGTGAACGGTCGTGTTTCTTTGTGCGCTCCGAATTTTTCATTTTTATCTATACAAACCAGCGGTGGTTCTGTTTTACATTTGAATATATAAACATTTAAATACAGTTGTTTTTAAAACCGTTCGCTTCGCGAGTACATTTTGTGCGTTTTATCATAAAATAATAAACTTTAACGATCTGATTTTTGTCTTTTTGACTATTTTCTTTTGTGCTTCGTCCGTCAACAGTAGTGTTGTTGTTGTAGTGAAGTGCACGCATATTAAGCGTGCAATTTATACGCTCTTGAGGTACATTTGAGTTGCTCGCTTACAAATTTCGATTTGATTTTTTCTCGGCACAGTGGTCCGTAACATAATAAACATGGAATCCTACAATGTCTGTTAAAAAAAAAACCTGCCTTCAGGTTATAAAGCCTGAGCAGGCTAAACTCGCTTGGTGGCTTTGTGACAGGATGGTGCATGTTGGGGGTTTACCTGTGGCTATAGATTAGTATCCAGATCGAACGACCAAAAATAACACTCAGATTTTAATTTTTATTTCTTGTCGCTTTCGCTGCTTGCTGTCGCTAGTCCACACATTACTTAACACTACTTTTTTTAGAGTTACCCTTCTTCATTTTTTATATTTTTTTAGCACTTAATTTTTTAGGAATTTATAACACTGAGTTTTTTTTTTTTTTCGTTGTGGATTTGAAATTTAAAATAAACAAAAATAAGAATACAACATCCTCCTCCCAAGTATTGCCTTGTAATATAATTCAGTTTTTGGCAATACTTCCTTTCTTTTACATAGTTTTCTAAACATCTAATTTAATTAACTTAACAATTGGTCTTTTATAAATGTTACCTTTTATCTTAACGTCTACGATTCGAACAAAGTTGTCTTTGGCAGGATAAGTTTTAACAATAATGCCTTTCGGCCAAACATTTCTTGGCAAATCTGCATCCATCACCAGCACAATATCACCCTCTTTCAAATTATCAAATTTTTTAACCCACTTGCGGCTACACAAAAGATATTGTCTGTATTCTTTTCTCCACTTTATCCAAAAAATATCTGCAAGTCTCTGAGAAGCCTTCCACATGTTTAACAATTTCATGTCTTCATCTGATACATCACAGTGGAAAGATTCTCTATAGTTTGGTCCGATCAACAAATCATTTGGCGTAAATAAGTCTGAATCTGGTAATTCGGAAGACATAAACAAAAGAGGACGACTATTTATCATGAATTCAATTTCGCAAAACAAGGTTTTAAGGGTATACTCTTTTGGAAATCGTTCCTTAAGTAAAAAACATAAATATTTCTTAATCGATTGAATTAATCTTTCCCATGCTCCTCCCATATGAGGCGACAAAGGCGGGTTGAATGTCCAGGTGCAATTTTTGTGTGCCAAAAATTGAGTCATTTCGTTTTTTGACCAATTATCTATAATCAATTTAAGATTCTTACTGGCTCGCTTGAAATTGGTCCCATTGTCTGAATATAGTTCTATCGGAAAACCACGACGGCAACCAAACTGACGAAAAACATGCATAAATGCATTGCAAGACAAGTCCTCTGCTATTTCTAGATGAACAGCCCGGGTGACCATACAAGTGAAAATTACTCCATATCGTTTTACATGACTCCTATTTACCAACACCTCGATAGGCCCAAAATAGTCCAGTCCAACTTTTAAAAAAGCCCTTTCAGTTGGTTCAATTCTACATTTGGGAAGCTGTCCTATTAAGGTAGTCTGTGGTTTGGCACGTCTATTCTTACAAAATTGGCAGTTACGAATTATTTTCTTGACGGTATTTCTGCATCTCACTATCCAATATTTCATTCGCAAATTAGAAATGACTGTTTCGGTACAAATGTGACAGTATTGTTGATGATAGAAATATATTAGAAGTGTAGTTATTGGGTGATCATTACTCAGTAGAATCGGATTTTTGGCATTCAAGTCATACTCATCATCATTTAAATTATCCAATCTACCTTTCAATCTTAGTAACCCATCAGTGGATAACTGCAGTGGCAATGATTTTAGGCGACTTGAATTCCCTATGGCTTCTCCTTTTTGTACACTTTGAATTTCAACTTGAAAGGAATCCGATTGCATTTTTTTATAAATTACGTTTTCGGCCTCCATTAATTCCTTTGCCGTTAGTTCGCCACAAGTTCGGTGTTCTTTATTAGTTTTTAACATTGTTTATAAATCGTAATAACCAAGCTGTTGTTCGTAAATATCTCATCCAACTAGAAAATCTGTTTACATCAGGTAGGATAGGTATATGTTTTGCGTCAGTCATTACATTTACATATTCGTTTGAGTCTTCTTCCAAGGTTATTTTACTTGTTGGCCACTCGACAATCTCTTTGTAGAGGAATTCCGGTCCATTTATCCATGAATTGTTTGTATTAAAGTCAACCTTTGTGACCTTCGTTGCTTCATCAGCAGGTTTCATTTTAGAAGGAACGTATCTCCAATTGCCGACATTCGTTATTTCTTGTATTTCACCTAAACGCTGAGCTACAAAGGTTTTAAATCGCTTGCTGCTAGACTTTAGCCAATACAACACAATTTGAGAGTCCGTCCATAAATATGTCTTACTAATTGGTAATTGTAACGATTCCAAAAGTGATTTGCTCATTCTGGCTCCTAGCAAGGCGCCCTGTAACTCCAGCCTTGGGATTGACATAGGCTTAAGGGGAGCGACTCGTGACTTGGCTGTTATCAACATGCAGTCAATGGTATCATCTTTTTTGAAACGAATGTATGCACATGCGGCGTAAGCATTTTTGGAGGCGTCAGAAAATATGTGTAGTTGAATGTCACAATCATTTATGGGTAATTTTGTCATAAGTCTTGGTATTGTAAAATTTTTGATTTTTAGGAATGATTCGCAATGAGTTTTCCAATGGCAAAATGTTCGTCTATTATTTCCTCGTCCCAGCCAATACCACTGTCCCATATGGCTTGTAAAAGTATCTTATTTGTTATAAGAAGGTTTGACAAGAAACCCAATGGATCGAAGATAGACATTGTAATCTTTAGGACCTCGCGCTTAGTTGGACGTCTGCATGTGCTTATGTGACTTGGTAAATTGCAGATTATAGGTAAATGTATCGTTGCACAGTGGTCGGTCCCATAGGCCAAAAATCAAAAAATCAATTTTGGAATTTTGATTTCAAGTTTGGCGCATCTGTTTATCAATAGAACAAGGCTTTAAAAGCAAGTATTAGTTTTGTCTTGCTCCACATATTTGCGGAGAAATTGGGGTGCAAAGTGAGCGCACAAACCCAGCGATCAACTGAAAGCGTGCGCATGTCTTTTGAAAGCGTTAAGTTAATAACTAAAAAAAATATAAAACAATCGTTTAATATCCGAAAGTGAAATGAATATTAAAGTTGAAGGTTTGTAGATTGTGTTTTTCTAATTTTTATTAATTTTGCATGCTATATGTGACTGTGACAATAATTGTTTATCCACCTCAATTTTACAAGTTCTGCAGAACTAAACATCAATATTCTGCAAAGGTAAAAGTTGTGTTCCCAAAACTTCTCAATAATGAAATTTTTTTTAAAATGTTAATAAATATTTAATTAGTATTATCTGTGAAAATCATCTGCGAATAGCTGCGAATCCGTTCAGAATCTGTTAAAGAAGACGAGTACCTCGTTCCTTTTTCATCAGTTTTTGATTTTCTAGAGTAACTATTTCTAATATATATTGAAAAATTTATTTTTTATTACTTTTATCTTATATATATAAATCTCCTGTCACGATGTTTGTCCGCGATGGACTCCTAAACTACTTAACCGATGTTAAATTAAATTGGCATACCATGAGCAGTCTGGTCCAACTTGAGAGATAGGATAGCTTAGATCTTTAATTATAGTCGCAATTTTATTTTATTGCTAATTATTTGTCTATAATGGATTATGTTCGCCTGGTACCTAGAAGTGGATTTTCCAATTTGTCCCTTCGAATTCGTTCCGCCAATACCAACATATTCAACCAAACCTCATTTTGAAGTACCAGGCGAACAGAATGCAATAGTAGGTGATTACTTTTTTTTTAATATTTTCAAATTGCCCGCAAAAGTATGCTATAAAAAATAAGCAAGAGCAACACCACGTTTTGTCTACGAAATATTGGCAAATTTGCTGCTATGCTAAACCGACAATAGCCTGATTACCACGTGTTATTGAGGTTAAGGTATAAATAAAATTTATTTTGTAGTAAACGAAATAGCGTGAAATTCTAATATTTCTACTTTTTTAATTTTTGGTGTTAGCATAGCCAACCACGTACGTAGACCGAAGTGTAAATCAAATTCAAATTATAGTGACGAATTATTGTCATACAGTGAAATCATTCCTGCTTTTTAGTTATCTGTGCTTCATTATTCAAAATTCTGTAGATATAAAAAATACACATACAGGTATTGTCACATAATAATTATAATAGTAAATTAAAATGCCGC